GATGCACCACAAAGACCGATGTCTTAGCATCGAAAGGCTTGTTCTGGGCCTCAATTCTCTCCTTCTCCGACTTTCGGAGGAAAGGAGCTGCCACCCCATAGACGGCCATCTCAGCATCCGACGACATGGCTGCGGTTTATCTAGGGCAGCTCAGCAGTGAGCTCTGATGTGGAGAAAATGTTACACTGATGAATCAATAATATTTTGCATCCGTTGGGACACCTCTGACATTTTCTACCCTTGGGATGGTTTAGTGGGGGTAAATTGTAAGGCATCTGTTGAAAATCAGTGGGCGTATGGCTCCTCATAGGTGTGAGGAATGTGAGGGTAAGGTTCTGAACTACAGTCCTGAAGGTTTGAATCTTGCCTGCCTCACACTAAAAGGCCACCTTGCGTTCACTTAGCTGCAGACTGGTTTCCCATTCCATTGGGTTGGTGTACCCCAAGGTAATCAGACGTGATGCTGCCACGTTGCTCCCTTGTGTACTGTTAGCTATGACACTAACATGCCTTAACTACATCAGCCTGATGAGCCATTGGCTTGCGGGAGTTTGACTCCTAATTTAGTCAGGCATTGCAGAGCAGAGCAATAGTTTAACAATCTGGGCCTAAATCTATGGAGAAGACCCTTGCTATTTTGCACTCAGTGATTCAAACAATAAAACAAAGTGAACAAACAATAAAAACCATGAATAACACAACTTTTTTAATGAATTGCCACTGTTCAATTTGAATTATTTATTATAACACGTAGGACAGTTGTAAATGTGCTGGAATATAATTTATAAAAATAACTAAGGCCAAAAATAGGAGTTGGAATTCTAAACCCATTATTAGGCTCTTAAATAAACTATGGATTTATAACAACAGGGAACTGCTGAGTTCTCCGCAGTATTGAAAATGAGACCTTTGTATTACATGTTATAAAATGACTTGTATGTTCAGAGGACAAACTTCTTCAATAAAATTTGGTACGGTAAATTCCTGACAAAATGATCATTACAATAATACATATGTCTGAGGAAAAAGAATACGATTTTGCAATATTCTCTCAGCTGGTGGACTCTAGCCACCTTGGATACAGTCATATCAAAGCCTTAAAGTCTAGAACTGATCAAACTGATTGGTTAGAAGTGAGGATCTAGGACAGGGCACTGGCCAGCCCAGCATCATCGGTCACTGGCTTCAAGTTCAGCCACTGTAGAGACCCTGACCACCATAGGCAGCACCAGGCCAAGCACAATATGTAATGCATTTGCACAATGGGCATAAATATTAGGGGATACAGCAACTGTCCATTCAGCAACACAGAAATCCCACCCTAGATAGTCTCTTACTATCCTCTTGGAATTAGTAAATCAGAATCTTACCTCTTGTGATAACAGATGGATAGTATGCAGTCTGGAAGCTGATCAATACTGTAAAATAGAAATAGAAATTCCCTTCTTATTGCTGCACGAAACGCCAGTGATAAATTATAGATTGAAAATATATAGACACCTTGAAAAGCAGATTTAAAATCACTGCTAACAGAGTCAATCCCTCATGGAAATTAGTGCTAGCGGCTTCAGGAATGTAGCTGGATGTGTGGAATGCAGGGGAAATTTCCCCTCTCCACAAACCCAGGTCCCTCCATATGCTTACCTTGAAGCTTTCTGTGCAAGGACAAGGCAAATTGTTTCCCAGGGGTCCTTTTATAGGGTCTGATCTGCATCTGCAACAGATCTTCAGTCAAAGCATTTTTGGCTAACCTTTCTCTGGCAAAGTATTGTATGGCATACTTAACTAAAGGCATAATTGTCATTTGACATGACTAGATATAATTAGAAATTTTTGATGTCTTACCGGCTATATGAATTAATCTCCTATAAATAATTTGACTTGACAAGGGAATCTGGCCTAATGGGTCAGCTAGAGAACTGGATCCAAGACTCCAAAGTTCTATTGCTGGCTTTCCACTGACTCTTGGAATGTCCTAGGGCAGATTACTTAGTATTGCTTTGCCTCAATTCTTCTAGCTATAAAAGTGCCATAATAATATTTATCCACATCAAAGGCTGTTGTGAAGTTTATGAAGAAATGCTTTAAGACCCTTCTGGCCTTAACCTTGAAACTCTATTAATCTAGGTATTCCTCCCCCGGCACTGTGATAGGGACCTCCTTTCTTTCCCTTGTCCTTTCCCCCCAAACATTCCAGGTGATCTCTAAAGTAAATAGAGCAAATACTTGAGTTATAGAGCTCAGCCCATAGAAATGTATCATATCCTAAAAGCTCATGTTACTAATGGAGGATGTTACACAGGGACCATATCAGTCAAAATTCTTTCTGCTGCCTCTCCTCCTATCCTTGTATTGTCCTTCCAGAGGCAAATCGATTCAAGCCTAAACATGACTCATGCAATTGTACAGACAGTCCCCAAACACATGCTTAATCCACAAACACATAATAACAAAATCTCCTCCTAACACACACAAACACACCCACTCCCTACGCCTCCATCTCACATATCTACACTCCCACTGTTAACCCACACAAACAACTCCCTCAGGCAAATCACCAAACACCAAAACCACATATACCCAGTCCCCACACCCAACACTCATAAACATCTCATCCATCCCAACATGCACACACACAAACATCACATGAGCATACAACTCCTAGTGTTAATACACCCTCAAGCCAACACTTCTGCCCCCCACCACATATACCTTGCAGACTTACTCACAACTTCACACAATCCCATACAGACATAAGAAAGCTCACCATTTTGCACAAGTATACTACCTAGAAAGCAGGATTAGAGAGTAATGTACTGATCCTTCAATATACTAATACTATAAGCAAGGGGAAATTTTAAGACAGAACATGAGAGTACTGCTGTAGTTTTAAGAAAATGGCAGACTTGCTTGAGCAGTTTTAAATCCTGTCAAGCTATAAACAATTTGTTCTCCTGCTCATTAATTGTTAGGTTATTAAAATAGTTCCAAAAACAAAACACATACAAGATCAGAACAATTATCTATCAAATCTAGTACAGTATTACAGTGCTTTGGCCCTACATTTCATAAAAACCTCCCACATTACTCACTTGGCCAATTGTGAAATGCTGCACATAAGAATGGGGCTTGAGAGCTCATAAGACCATGCACTCCTAGGTTTAGAACAAAATTGAATTAGCTATAACTATGAGCAGCGCAAAATTCAATTAATGTCAAGATGCACACTTGAAGCTGAATGTGGTGTATATCTGTGTACAGTTAGTTACCTGTTTTGGGAAATGCCTATAAACTGAGCTCAGCTAAAACTATGAAGGCACCTTGTAAAAAAACGTGCCCTGATACTTCCTCCAAAAGCCTCATAGTGTGTACAGGACTGCACCACCACTGGATCTATGTGTGTGTGAGAAGCCCCTCGCTCCACATGTCAGCAGCAGTGCTGTGAAGACCTGAAACCCTGATTGGTCAGGGGATGGGCCTCTTCCCCCAACCCACCCCCTAAGCCCCTGGGCTGGCCATGGAGCTAGCAGGAAATCCGACTCCTAGTTCCTGCTGCCAGCTTCCCTCCCTCATCCCCTGCAGAATAGGAAAGCCAAGCTAGAAGAGAGGGCAGGCATGAAGGTCGTCATCTCCGAGGCACAGAACAAATAGACACTGGCTGTGCCTCATACACCTCCAGCCTGACCCTCCTCTTCCCACTCAGGTGCTTGGGGAGGGGGCAGCGCTTGATGCCCCATGGCTTCCCTGCCTAGCAGCTGGACCTGCTGCCTGTTTCTGGGGTGCAGCGCAGTGCCAGCAAGGACAGGTAGGTACTAGCCTACCTTAGCGCTGCAGCACTTTGTGGTAGGTGCACCACAGAAAAGTCACCTAGGAACAAAGAATGCAGGCAATGTCTACAGGATTGGGGACCACATGCTGGAAAGCAGGAACCCTAAAAAAGATTTAGGTGGCATAAATGGCAAACCCAGTTGTCATAACTATAAAGGGAAGGGTAACAGCTCTCCTGTGTACAGTACTATAAAATCCCTCCTGGCCAGAGACTCCAAATCCTTTTACCTGTAAAGGGTTAAGAAGCTTGGGTAACCTGGCTGACACCTGACCCAAAGGACCAATAAGGGGACAAGATACTTTCAAATCTTGGGGGGGGGAAGGCTTTTGTTTGTACTCTTTGTTTGGTTGTTGTTCACTCTTGGGACTGAGAGGGACCAGACATCAATCCAGGTTCTCCACATCTTTCTAACCAAGTCTCTCATATTTCAAACTTGTAAGTAAACAGCCAGGCAAGGCGTATTAGTTTTCCTTTGTTTTCTCAACTTGTAAATGTACCTTTTACTAGAGTGTTTATCTCTGTTTGCTGTACTTTGAACCTGAGGCTAGAGGGGAATCCTCTGAGCTCTTTAAGTTTGATTACCCTGTAAAGTTATTTTCCATACTGATTTTACAGAGATGATTTTTACCTTTTTCTTTAATTAAAAGCCTTCTTTTTAAGAACCTGATTGATTTTTCCTTGTTTTAGATCCAAGGGGTTTGGATCTGTATTCACCAGGAGTTGGTGGGAGAAAGGAGGGGGATGGTCAATTTCTCCTTGTTTTAAGATCCAAGGGGTTTGGATCTGTATTCACCAGGAGTTGGTAGGAGAAAGGAGGGGGATGGTTAATTTCTCCTTGTCTTAAGATCCAAGGGGTTTGGATCTGTATTCACCAGGGAATTGGTGAAAGGTTTCTCAAGGCTTCCCAGGGAAGGGAATTAGCTTTGGGAATGGTGGCAGCAGACCAGATCTAAGCTGGTAGTTAAGCTTAGAAGTCTTCATGCAGGCCCCCACATTTGTACCCTAAAGTTCAAAGTGGGGATGCAGCCTTGACA